TATTCTCTTATGTGTATTTACAATGGTGGTTGTAAAATTGTTATTTCTTTTTAAATATGTAGTTTTTTTTCATTTTATCATACAAACTCTACTCTTATAGTTAAATACTACTCTGATTACTAATGTTTGTTTCGTCTGTGTTTTCATTGCAGCAATTTAACCATGTTATATTTGTTGTTTTTGTCGTTGGTTATTTCAGACGCTAAGTGTTTGAAAGGCAAAAATAAAAACGAAAACATATATTTTTATTTTAAATTGGTTAATACTTAATAAACCATAAACAAATTCGATCCCAAGTCAAGTAGGACGCAATGCAAGTATATGAATAAGTTTTAGTTGACACCGAAAGATCTATTCACAAAACTAAAACTAGTAGATAACAGACATTTATGTTTAGGCATTACAGTAACAACTATAACACCCCTTTAAATAAGGTTTTAAGAATACTAACTACTACACCTAAAATAAAAAGAAACATCCACAAATATTTTGCGTCAGACACGGAGATGACCTGTTACATCGATCAAACACTTCTAAAACTATTTTGGTTGTTGAGCGACAAAAGGGCCGTCGAGACTATAATAGGGGCGAGCGGCTCTCGTGTTAGATGAGGCGAATGTATAATTAATTCACCAGGGGATGATGACAGGGTGAGGGGAGGGGGGAGGTCTTGGCGCCTCGGGTGAACATCTGTCATCTCGTCAAACAAGTGAACATTGAACACTTGTAGTGTTGTAATGATGTCATTTGGTCTCAACAATCTGTCTGACTGAGATTGAAGAGTGACACTCATAGTCTTGGCAAGAAGAATGGTTGGAAATGAAACACTTGAAAATCTCTAAATGTTTATGGATAGCAAAGGTTGGTAGTGTTACAGCTATGAAGGTGTAAATATGTTTATGGCTGAGATTGGTTTTGAAATGTAACAATCCTGGAAGTCTTTGTAAAAAAAAGGTTGAAAGCGTTTCAACCAAGAGAGTATTTTGAAGTTTTTGGATGAGATCAATTTGAAAGTGTAACTCAAACTAGATAGATTGACAAGAAAGATTGGAAGTATTAGAATGCTAAAAGTATCGAGATTTATGGCTGTGATTGGTTTGGTGGAGTAACACTCCTAGAAGTCTTGGCAAAAAAACGATATGTGTTACAACCACAAGTGTACCCATGGATCCGAGATTGATTTAAATGTTTAAAACCACTAGTTTTTTTTTTTTTTTTTTAAGAAGTGTTGGACGTGTTACAATCTTGAAATTCTTCAATCGCTCTTGTCTTGAAAAAGTTGGTTACACAACACGAATAGTTTCCACATCACTAGTATGCAAGTTTTAAGTGTTACAATTCTGAACGCATTCATGTGGTTGTAAATCACCCACCGTGTTATAAAGGTTGGAAGTTTTAAAATATAGAATTTCTCCATATGCCTGTGACTTACAAGAATGCTGAGATAGGTTAAAAATGTTGGTATCCAGAAAGCATATATATGTTTTATATGCTATATTTTGTTTTGGAGTTGCACAATAAATCATTGTGGATGTTGCGTCAGCTATTCTAAACGCATCTCCTTCGTTAACGAAGGAAATTAACGACCATTAAGTTCGTTTGTTTAAGAAAATTGACGAGGACTTATAAATACCAAAAATTTTAACCATTGCATCCTTTAAACTCAAGTTGAAATAAAATTATCTCACTATATAGCCAATCACATTTTTAAATAACTGAGTTAATCAAAGTTACGAACTTATTTTTTTCTAAATTAATATATATAAAAAAACTAAAAGATTCCACATCCTTTGAGATTAACGCACACCGTTCCCTTTTCCCTCTCAATACTGTCTGCTTGTTTCAAACACAACAGACCACAAAGAATCAAACAGCTCTCGACTTTAATCCACCAATTTGGAGACAAAATCACAAAATCAGCTGCCTTTGTTAGGGAAGCTCAAAGCAACAATAGGCGGTATTTAAAAGGGGTCGGGGCAGGTGACCCAGGGTAGTAATTAGCCCACAATGGGACCCCCACTCTATTATAGTGACATAATGCTCGCCCTTGTATGGATTATATCTTTCATGAAATAACATTTAGCCTCCCCCCTCACCCCCGCTTGTCGAGAGTTTGTGACATCCTGGTGTGTGTTTGTGTGTGTACAGTGATGTGAGTGTGTGTGTGCGGACAAATTGATATTTCCAACAACCCCTCCCCCCTTTGGTTGACAGGTGTCATGTTTGAGCTGGTGCAGATGGTTTCCACATTTGATGGACTGTAGGGATAGTTGGTACTAACAGATTGTCATTGTGATAATCAATACGAAATTGTTTAGTTATATTTTTGAGATAATATTAGTTAAGGATTATGAAATAAGATCTATGAAAGCTGGGAGATCTTATTGTATTCGATCGAGCATTTTTAAATGTTGATGCTATAAAACATATTTAATTCAAAAATCTAATATTTTTCAATCATTTAAAGACATGTCATTGCCAAGTCAATTACAAAGTTGACTGTTTTTGATGGTTATTACATATTGTTTTCAAACGCGAATTCTTATAAAAATATACTCTCTCACATCGGATTGAAGTGAAATGGCACACTAGTAAGACCTTTAAGACATTAGAGTATACTTTTCATAACAAGGGAGTTTTGACGTTGGAGATAGCGTAACAAGTTCACATTGTATAGAAAGGTTGCCTAAATCCATTGCTATAAAAATAATTCCCAAAGCGAAAACGCTAACCTTACTGGACTAAAAAAAAAAACTTCATTATAAGCTCATTACATAATTCCCGACAAAAAACAGAACACAAACTTAATATAACATTAACAGTTGACCGTATCGAATTGTTTAAAGTATGATTGCGAGACTTATAAAATTATGCAAGTTTAAAGTTGGAAGTATACCTTATGAATTTAAACTTTACATTTCTATGCACGAAACATTGATGTTGCATATATTGTTACTGTAAAACAATAAACACTCATTATTAATTCAGCCATCAATACAATTATTAGTATGCATTTCTATTGAGGAGCTGGCTTATAGACTAATATTTCATCGAAAGTAATCATTTGAAGGCAGGACTCAGAAGTTTAAGTAAAAGTAGATTCAAGGATTGTCACATTGAAAATCTCGAAATCTACATACACAACGATCGAGAGCTTTTTATTATACCAAAAGCCATTAGTTGTTAAAGATTTAATTTTTTCAATTTTAAGAACATTGAACATTTTAGTTATTAAATTTGTTGGTCTTGAAACTGTACGTAAACTAAGGCTAGCTTTCATCCGAACAACAAAGATTGTGTTCAAGAATAAAAGAGCATATAAGTTAATATGAGCTGAATCAAGTAATTAAGATAGAGTAAATATGCATTTAAATTTCCATTGAATATATCTTTAATTTTTTATAGATAAGCTATTAGTAAACCAACACCTTATGGGAAAAGTAATATGTCTCTTATGTCGTAGTATTAAGTCCCATAAAATGCAGAAGAATAATAGAGAAAATGTCAGTTTAATGGTAGGAAAGGAAGATATTATAAACTTGAAACACTACAATTCTAAATAACAACTGAATACGACTAGTCATTTATACATTATGGGATACTTTTTAATAAATACTAATACTATTAGTATCATACGGTTTTGCTATTTTACACCCAATTGTGTCAATAGTATTGTAAATGCTTTGCAAATTCAGGAACACCCTATTTTAGAAAAATATTTCGACATATTTTCTTAAATGGATAAAATACGTGTGTTTGATTACTAGCTGCACAAATATGAAAATAAAGAAATCAACGCCTGAAAATAATTACAAAATGGTAATGGTAAACAAAAACTACGACGTGTATTACTTTGACAACATGAAGCAACGGTAATCCAATAAAATATAATGTATTGTTTGTGCGTCGGACTGCATTATTTGCGGAATGGTATGGTAATCAATGTTTAGTGAGTTTATAATTAGATCAGTTTCACATGAGAGGTAATGCTTGTTCGGTTTAAATATGGAAATATCCTTTGTCCACTAATGTTACTCCATTAAACATCGAATACATACTCTTAGTGTTCCAACGGAGGCCAATAGTAGGTCTATAACAAATCATATTTCCATAATTAGAACAAACACTTTTGTTCTCAATATGTGATTTCACAACATTTTGGTAACATTTGCCCCAATTGCTTAATTTTACAGCTGAATAAAAACTGTTATTAAATGTTCGCTGGATGTGTTATTAAAACATCTACACTGCTGTATTTTTAATGAAAAAAAGGACTAGCATTGACTTCGTTTTAAGCGTATTGACTTCTCATCCAATTTCAAAAAAGTTAAGCTTGTCTTAGTAAGCTTGGTAAATGTAGAGCAATGTTTACCACTTATTTTTGGACATTTACAGTGCGTTATATTATTACCGGTATTTTCTATTCTTACGTTATATTAGAACAGTAGATCAGTCGTATTAATTGTAAAATTTATACTTAAACTAGTTTTTCGTAGTACATACATACACACACCTTAATTCTATTTTTAGCTATAGCAGGTAAATGTACGAGTATTCATGTTTAATAGTATTTTGCGTCTTTCCAGCTAATAATCCTAAATAATGAACTGATATATACAGTACAACTTTTTTTAAATACAGTTTCATAACATAATTTCATCAATTTCAACCTGAAGAGAGAAAATTAATTTTAATGTTGTAATTGTTTAGTAAACGTATTAAATTAATCTTGAGTAATCCACTAATGTCTTACTTTTGAATCTCGAAATACTGACTCAACCATCAAGCCCTGACAATCGGTTTTTACCCATAGCCTTTATAGTATGTGAAATTTGTAATATCTCCAGTAAAAGATAGGAAGATTTCTTTAGTCAGAATCAAAAGAGCCACACCACATAATCTGGTAAAAAGCATGGATATCTTTAATGCAGTTCACTTTGTTTAAACCTGGCTTGTTATTCTCTTTGGCCTGCGGAAAGGCTAATTATGAAGTTTTTCAGGTGCGGAAGGAGCTTTTAAGAAGCTGAAAAACGAGCCTTTGGTTGTCGGGGGTGGACCTTCCCCTAGCGTACAACACACCCCCACCACTGCTAGTTGTCCAACCCCCGCCCGGCGACGGCATCGAACCACCTTCACACAGGTGAGGAAATAATTATAGAGGTAGTTTTGGTTTTTCGTGGTATTAAAATAATGTCAGAATTCATAAAAGTAAAACTCTAGCACCTTTTTGTAAATATTAAGCTGCAAAATCTATATTGGTTGTTATAATTTCTATCAGAGCATTGTAACACAATTAAATGTTTCCACAAGAAAATACAAAAGTGCCTTTGATACTAATTCTATCGGCTCCATACGCAACTCATCACCCTTTGTAATACTCATTCATTCAACACAATGTCAATACAATTGGCAAGATAGAGAAATATGACTATGCCATTACTGAAATTGAGAAAAAATCATTTATAGTTTTTAACTACGTTCCATTTGAGGTGATTTAGCATCTATTAAATTTGTTTGCCAAATACTAACAAGAACGCTTATCATCGCGGTCAGTCACACAGATTATAAAATTCTCGTGGTTTATTTTCACTATTTTAACAAACTATTTTGAATATTTTAACAACATTTCAAAAATAGTTTCTTCACTGGAGACCTTTATTAAACAGCTATATAGCAATTAAAATATATCTTGTTCCTCTACTGTAAGTAGCCCAAGAATTATTTCCAAATAAAAACAGAACAAAAGATATAAATTAGATATCAGATAGTTTTGAATCGATCTAGTACGGTCGATAATTTTGTAAAACGTGTTATAAATAAACAAATAAAGCGTGTAGCACTTATTAATTCAACTTAAATATTCAAGGTTGAGAGTAAGCGAGAAAGAAAAGAAATTTGAAGATACGCAAACTTAAGTTCGAATTAGTTTGAATTACGATTTTGGTAGCCTAAATGACAGATTTTAAAGTTTTAAGTTTCCATATCATGCTTAATATTCTACACAACAAATAAATATATAAGAATGTTAAGCCTATTAATTTAAAAAACAACCTACCAAATTTAGTATACGCTATTCTAGTTTCGTAATCGTAAGATTAACTAAAAAGATAATAAAGGGTGGTACAAAAATAACTGATCATTTTTGAACAAATGTCAATTGTGTAGAATTTTAATTGTTGTATTAAACAGCAACATTTGAGTAATCATAGATCGTTGATCAGTACAACACCGTGCCTTTTGTATTGAAGCTCATTTTAGTTATAAGTAACATTGTAAGTAAAGGCGCCTAGTAGGTTTTCACCTTCAATCAGCTGAAAGAGTCTTTGACAAAACATCAGACTTATAGTCCAGTCTAACTAAGAACAATCACCCTTAAACCTGGGCAAAACTGCTTTACAAGTGATTGAAGTGGTATTCAACTCAGAAAAGGTCGCTTTATAACATATGCCTACCCAAAATCTGACAAAATCCAACCATGGAAAATTATATAAAAACAAATTTTAAATAGGAATTTTGGTTGTCAGGTTTTCCAAATAAATGGTCCAATTAAGAAAAAGCCGCCATTTTAAATTGTATTTTTAGTCACTTTCTCACGGTTGTATTTCTTCTTATTTTGGATATGTTGTAAATCAACATTCGTTGAGTCGAATACCACTTTAATCGTTTAACAAAGCAGTTTTTCCCAGATCAAATCAGAACTTTACTAGAATATTTATCTACGGTCACCTTGATTGAGCTAATGTGCAACAACCAGTTCGTAGGGGTGTAATTTTCAAATCGTCTTGTAAAATACGATGTAAACTGGTCCTAGCAACCTAAAGCAACAGAACGCTTTTTTGCCGATCTTTTTGGATTTTAGAGAACAGACTCCCGAACTCTTGCTTCCCTGGCTGAAGAGGACTAAGTCCTAAAACAGCCTCAGTCCAGTAGAGTTTCAGCTCTCTGGATTGGAACATCACGAAGAAGAAGAAGAACTCTTGCAATGTTCTCATCTGTACGCAGAGAATTTGACCTCCTCGGAGGTTTATTCTTAAAAACAGATTCCTTAGTTCTTAAATTAAACACACACCCATAGATAGTATTCCTAGAGGGGACCACACCATGATTACGGACGTTGAAATTATATTACGAAATAACCGCTGAGCTACAATTACAGACTCGTTTTTTTTAAATAGGCTTCAATGCAAAAATCACGGTGTTGTACTGTCCAACGATCTGCGATTAATCAAATGGCATGACATTTGTTGTTGTTTTATACAACAATGAAAATTCTACGGGTAACAACCATCGATATATGTAACAACAGATGATTGACATTTTTTATGATTCGTTATTCATGGACCACACATTTAGATATACTAAGAACACTCCGTCAAAGTCTAGACATGATTCTTGTGGTTGTGTACAGGAACAGTTAGCAGAGCTAGAGGCCGCCTTTGCCAAGTCCCACTACCCAGACATCTACTGCAGAGAGGAACTGGCGAGGACTACCAAGCTCAATGAGGCGCGGATACAGGTAAAGTGACTATCATTTACTTGGGAAAGTAAAATTGCATAACATTAAGCTTTCTTTTTCTGCCTGTTGATTGTTGTATGATAAAATCTCCATGCCTTTTAAACGGTAAAAACCTTAATATGCTCGATTGTCTCAATACATGACGTATAAACAGTGTATACACCCATGCTAATTTTTACTTTCTCTTCCTATACATAGTATAAGGAGAGAGTATTGTTTTCGTCAAAATTTTCGAGTTTGAGTTTTGAGTGGAAATATCCATTTAGGGCCCCCCTGAACCCAAAAAAGTGGTTGTCAAAGTGATGTATGTGAGTGTGTCTGGATGTGTACAGAGCTAGAGACAACAGCTGTAGTCCGATTTTTCACTTTTTTTTAAACTTTGATTTTTAATGTTGAAAATAATGGAAAAATCGAATTTTCTCAAAAATGGAACGACTGATTTTAATAAAAATTAAGTATGTTGTAGCCCTATAAAATCTGACCATGGTTCAAAAGTTATTGTAAATTATGTTTTCCCCTCAAAAATAGGAGAAAAACTTATTAAAAAACCCCCGGTTTTGATTTAAACTAGTATGTGATAGTCCTTATAATTCTTAACAGCATAGTGCAACCTTCCCATTGCTGTAAAAATTGGGGTTCAAAGGTTATTGTGGCTTATGTTATTTTCCCATAAAACCCCATAAAAAAAGAAAAAAAAGGATAAAAAACACTTATTTAAATTTGTCTGTTATTGTCATTATAATTCTAAACAAAATAGTGCAATCCCACACTACTGTAAAATTTACGGCTCAAAAGCTAACGAAACTGTTGTGATTTTACCTATTAAATATCATAATTAGTTACTCTCATCGCTTACCCATGATAAAGGTTATTGACAAGTTATTGGGAGAAAGTGTGTGTCAGATTGCTGATACCGTTTATTTTACTTTAAAATCTAATCTTTGGTTTTTTATTGTAACAATACTTTACTTCACTGATTCGTAAAACGTGAGTGTATTTAAAGTTTAGACATTCAAAGTAGTGCTAGAGTTTAAAAACTCAATTTTAAGGTAACAGTATTTAATTTCTTTAGAATTTAGAATCTACAATCCAATAAATATGTTAGAGATATCAAGGTAGTTTGAAGCGTGATAATGTTGAACACACACATCTCTAGTGCAGTGACAAGGTTTTTAGATTTTAGGGGAATAGTTCGGCATTTTACATCAATGAATTTAACAAAACCATGCTAATTAAAATTATCATACAATTATACAGGCATGAAGCGGGATTGATTTTTTTAAAGGAGTTTTAATGTATTGATATTATAGGTCATGCCATGGCTAGTATTGTAATAAGTGATGTTGTAAACAATTTAATGTAAAAAAATGGGAAAATAAATATCTTATTTCTTATTTCTTATATTGTACGTTAAAGAATTTAACTGTACAATTTAGTATGGTTTAGCGAATTTCCCATATAGGGAATAGGCTATTAGCGTGGTACACATGGTAAGACTAATTTACATATTTGTCCGTCAGCATGATAACTCGGGCAAAATTGATCCGATTTTGAAATTTGGTATAAACGAGTAAACCTACGTCGTTTATTCGAACGAGTTCGCGAACCAGCATGATCGGACTACGGGATCCCATTTTTGACCCTAAAAGCATGAAATTTAGCAAATTCTTTCCAAACCATTATTAGAGCTTAAAAACAAATAATTTATTAAATTGAAGTGTTTCTATGCAACATGTGTTGAAAAAATTTGGAAAATGCTGTTGCAGCAAACCTAAGTACTCGTTTAACTAATGCTATTTAAATGGGGAATACATGTGACATTTTTAAGGAGACATTTTAATGTAAATCCAATCAGGCAAATGGAAATTCACTTAGCCTCTAGATTTGCTGTGGTGGGAAAAGTTAAAATTTATTCTATATTTCAAGGTGTGTCTTTCAATGTTTATTGTATGTTAGACACACGTATAGGCGCAATATTTGTTCAATAGTTACCTAATCAAAATTTTAAATCATATATCACTAGGTCGGTACTCCAGATTTGTGTTGAATCGCACATCTGAGCAGTGACAGTGATTTTCAACCTCTCACCCGGCTCGTCTCAATAAGAGAGTCTCATTTTGAAGTTATCGCTCTCACAATCTGAGAGACACGAGATTACAGGACCTAACTTAGATGACGTCTCGACGCCGGCGACACCAGCGCCCCTACAGGCTTAAACTCAATTACGCGTCTTCATGCCAACTGTCGTCCCCCAGCCCCCCCCCCTCCATAAGCACCCCTCCATTTGTAGGATACGGAGCGGGAATTGGAGACCACCCCCTGTCCTCCCCATCTTGAATTTAACAGACAAGAGAAATTTAACGTATCGCCTGTGCTGATGGCATTATTGCAAGTGTTCGATTATTTTTCCCATTCGGAATTGTTTCAGTTTTTGTAAGATGGAGCTTCTTCGTTCTTAGGCCTAACTTGATTTCCAAGCTACGTCGTCACTCTGGCTTTTGTTTCGGATTAAAGTAAACCTATGTTGTTTGGTATTTTAAAACATCGTGTGAAATTATCTATACACTATTTATAGGACGCAACAATTAATTATTTTTTTACGTAAAAATAAATGGTATTCAATTTGTTACATATTTTATTCAGTAAAAAAAATAGTTTCTATATCTAAACCAAACTGTTTATACTTAACATATATAAACGATGTTATAGTTTAATACCGAAAAAATGCGAAAGCTTCAATAAATAGTTGTACAGAAATAGATAAAACATGCATGACGCAATTAGCGTACTTTGCAAATCAACATAATTTGTGTCTCTTATTAAAATATTAGTATCACAATCAATATGGTATTGTTTTATTAAATATTAGCGTATTCCACATATAGGGAATAAGCTATTTTACCGTAGGAATCATTGTAAGATCTAACCCGGGACCGATTTACTTTTTCGTTTTGAGGTCCCCAGAGGCCAAAAACACAACCCGTTCAAATTTATATAAATGTATATACAGTTTAAATGTATCAGTTAGCACGATAACTTGATGATCCGATTTTTATGAAATTTGGCACAAACGTGTAAACCTAAGATTATTTGAACGAGTTCGCAAACCAGCATAATTGGACTATGGGAACGGGGTTCATGGGGGGTTCTATGCGGTAAAAGTTGATTTTTACTATTTCCCCCCTAAAAACACAACATTTCATAATTTCTCTCCAAACCATTTTGCAGAGCTCAAAAAATAAATAATATTGTATGTAGAAGCGTTGTTCTATGCCCAACGGTTACGGAGATAATTATAAATTGTAAATTTAAATTTCTCATTATATCCTTATGGAGGATAAATGAACTGTTTTAGTTTGCTTGTTAATGGATATATTTTAATCAAATTTGGAAATTATGTTCATTTCATACTAAGCCATCAACATTTCAATAAAAAAAACACAACTCAATATCTTCCCCGGAGCAGCAAACCTAAGTACTCACTAAAATTAATGTTATTTAAATAGGAAATAAATCTGACAATTTTTAGGGAATATTTTAGTACAAATTCCGCCGGGTAAATGGAATTTTACTTAGTCTGCAGGTTAGCTGTGGCGAGGGTATTACATTTTTATGTTCAGTCCTGCCAACCAAAAAAGCATTTCGCATCGAGTTTAGTAGGTACTAAATAGATGTTGCCGAACAAATTTGAATAGTTTTTTTCCCTAACAACACATCCTTAATAAACTTCAATTTGGATTTTGTCCTATAATTCTAAGATTTAGGGCGCAAAAGTACAAACTAAATAGTATTGCGACACTCTACACAATTAAGAAAAATTTAGTTTTTGAACTATTATGATCAAATACGCTTTCCAACGCTTTTAAATATTGCAAAAGGAAGACATAGATTGTTGTATGGACAAATTGAAGATTAAAAAAATAATATTAATCTTACGTGGTCTTTCCCAACGTATCTAATGAGAAACCACAATTTACTTGAATAGAAGTAATCAAACCCTAATGTGAAATCAAAGTTTTTCAAAACAACTTTTTCTCACACATGCTTTATACTTAAAATCACTCTTTATTTCCAAGACGTAAAATAATAAAAAGAGAAGCAAGAACTCAGTCTTGGTGGTAAAGCGCTGGGCTGATGCATTAGTGGCTGGGAACACAAGAAAGCTGGAGGTTTCCTGAGAGGGTTGAGGGAGGGGGGAGGGGTATAAGAGAGGGATTATTTAGGTTACTTGCTTTGTGGTAAGAGCTCGCACAGGAAATTACATTTGCACGACGCACATGCCCATACATCTTAGCAAAGAAGGGAAAGCTTCTGGCAGGAAATAAAATTAAATCTCGTTTTAAATTTCCATTTCCGTCTTGTCCCATATAAACACGAGGTAATTGGCAAAGCCTTCTGCATAAGTGGCTTTGTGAGGCTTAAGCTTTTTGAGGTAAATATTTAGTCGTCGCGTTGATATATTGCTTGTTAAAAGCGTCCCTTGTCCACGGAAATTGACTTTCGTCTGGTTTGGATAACCTTTGCGAATTATGTTCTTTTATCACTGATTGGGAGGTTTTTAGTTATTAAAAAATTATCATTAGTTCAATGTTAAAGGTAATGCTTTTTTAATTTTTATATATTATGTTAACACGATTAATTCATACATATAAGAACATTAGATCGTTTAGTTAATATAACACAGTTTAATAGAAATAACTTAATAGGTATTTGAAAATGTTTTACATGTAAGCATTTCACGGGCAATTATATAACAAATATATAAAATCCTAACACTTACATTCCTGGTAAAGTATTTCCGTCTTATAAATAAATAAGGTAGGTAGACCTTTAGGTATATTTTGTTAAATCTTAAACAAAGTAGTACAGTAATATATTATAACGATAAAAAATACTGTTAAATTTAAAAAACCATCTTTTTACGGTTTTTACTAGCCACTATAATTTTTATCTAGTTTTAAATATGCTTTATTTGAAACAATTACGTTAATTTTCTTTGA